TAAAACCACTCTTTCCGAATGTATTTCCAAGCTGTTTCCAGTTGCTCCTACACCCAAAAGAAAGAACCCAAGCGTTCTTTCAAAGCAGCGTTTGGAAGAGCTTTGATGTTGTTTTGCCAATTGAATGATAATTAAATGAATTCGGTCTAATAAATGTGTTTCTATCAAGGTGAGTTTTCTCGGGTACGATAGGTTGTTTGTAAAGCAGGTAAGTCCGATTGGAGTATTTAAAATGTCAAGGCTAATAGCTGTTGAAATGGTTACTGCATTAAATTAATGCTCATTACATGAATAATTGAAGCTTTTTAAAAACTGAATTGAGAGATGTGCTTATTGACTGGGGAATTTTACTTTACTTTACTTCGTTTTTTCTCTCTAGAACTCTAACTCCTGTCCGGTGGATCGAATCCTCTTTAAGTACATTAACATTCGGGCGCATTTTGGTGGTAAAATCTTAGAGAAGGTAAGTTTTTCTGCTGCTAAGGCCAATTTCCACAAAATAATAAACCAGAGGTTTAAAATTCTAGCGTGTTGCCCTGGTATTTGGTTCAATTTATTTCTTGAGGTTGCCTTTTAAGGACACTTTTAAGTGTTTGCGTTGGCAAATTAACATTTAAGTCGTATGTTTGAGGGGGGGAAGCTTGCTCTCTTATGGTTTTTTTTCGTTTTGCTTGACTGCTTTTGATCTTATTTTGGAATTTTGGGCTCACCTCTTCTTAAAATGCAGTTTCCCATGGTTGTTGGTGTCTGCCAGTAGAGAATTTCAGTAGATATTTTCAAGCATTTGATCACATTGAGCGAAGTAAACGAAGGTTCTGGCGGGTAACAGATTCTTTCGCTTCGTACCCTTCCAGATTTCGCCGCTGTTAACGCGACGGGGGATTTTTTAAAAAAAGCACCACGTTCTACAATAAAACGTGAATCCCTCTTATTTTCTCTAGATTCCTGTCAAGGACACGAAAACTCAGGGTAACGACGGAGAGGACGATCCGACCTTCTGCGAGGTGTGCGGCAGGAGCGACCGCGAGGATCGCCTGCTGCTGTGCGACAGCTGCGACGCAGGGTAAGGCCACGTCGGAAGGTCCCCGTCGAGCAAAAAGAGGGATTTGCAATGAGTCCGTAAGACAATCTTTCCAAAATGACTTCTAGCGAGCTAATTCAGACTTTTGGTAAGTCTGATTTTTGTCTTCTGGAGTGTCTTGTGCTTGCTGGTTTGCCTTCTGGAGAAAAGACAAAATCGGGGACGCTGAATGTTGTCGAGCACGTCGTCAGCGCGCTGAGTTTCAAATAATTAACTAACCAAACCGTAGGTCTTGCCTGAAGTCACGTCTGAAGTTTCATAAGCCTTGCCTCAACTCCGGGTAGTACTTCAGATTTCCCGTTGTGGTCCCTCAATAATTCCTTTTATTATTTTTATTTTATTATTATTTTTAAGGTCTGATACAGTTTATTTATTTTTTAATTCTTATTTTCATAAAATAAGTTCTTTACTGATTTCTGGAGTTAACGCTTCTGGAAACTTGCGGGCTTTTCTGGCTCTCCGTGGCTCAGCTGAACTCCGGATAAACACAGAACAGCTTCCTTCAAATCCTAGTTTTATCCCACTGATTCTGTGGTGCCCTACGTTCTCTGTCTGACCTGACACTGGAGTGAAAATCTCATCAGTCCAGTTTTAGGGCTGAAAGCTTTTGCTGGTCGAGAGGGTCATGACGTTGACTTCAGAACTGCCCCCGGATGATTTGAGAAGTACGTGGTGAAGCTCTTACTGCAAGTACTTTTTGTTCTGACTTTGGCCTGAACCTACTGTTGCTTGTTGCAACACTGCTTTGGGGGAGCGAGCTCATTCCTGATCGCTGGCGCTCAGAGCACAAACTCTCCTTTCCCGGAGGAGGAAAATACTTTACCGTTCGAGTTTTTTAGTAATGATTTACTGCAACCAGTATTTGATTTTTCAACTTGGTCTTCTCGAGTCTCTGACAGAGTCTAAAATCTCCTTACTCCGTGGCCAGGCACGGAGCTGTGTTGTCAGGCACCGAACTTCAACGTGAAACAGAGAACTTCACTCTCTTTCCGTTAGTTATTTCAGAACTAAATGCTGCTCCACCTCAGAAATAACAGTGGGGCTTCCCCTTTTAGAAAAAGTACAGAGTTGGTCATAGAAACGTTGTCGATTTGCAGCTGAAACTCTTACTTGAAGGCTGTGGTCTTGCCGTGTTCCTCACCTGGGGAACTTGGTCAAAGCACTTGGTTTTCCCAAGTCTCCTTTGCTTGGGAAATCTCTTTGGATTCTTTTTGGCGGTGTAACGTGAACACGAGCCGCTGCAGAAATCCCGCGCTGTCGCTTTGGCTGGGTTTTCATTGCTGAAAACTGAATCGAACGCGTTTCAGACCACAGCTTGAGTGACGTTGGATGGCTTTGCCAGCCACCACCTCTGCAAGAGGTTGCCAAGGCTGTTTGCTCAGGCTGCTCAGCTAGAGAACGTTTCAAAAGGGAGCATCGAGCTCTCCTTTTTCGCTTTGAGGCGTGATGAGGACGATTCCAGGGGCGAGTGGCTCTTGGAAGCCACCGTGGTCGTTCTCCGGTCCTGCAAGCGGCCGGCGACTGGCCGATGCTGTGCGCTGCCTCGTGTGGTTCCGCAGAAATCCTCAGCGCTGCTTGGCTCAGTCGTGGTGGGTAGATGTGGGATGTTGCGGCTTCGTTTTATGAATTCTCTGCCTTCGTTCATAGAATTCTCTGATTCATTTGACGTCGTGAGGCCTCATGGTTGACCTGTGCAAAATAAAATGTTTGTAGGTACCAACGATGGCAGCGCTGTGTGGGTTTGCGGAAAACCGTTGGCTCTACACCTTTCATGCAGCTTGGGTTCAAATGCCAAGTGAAATACCTCACAGTGAGGGAAAAACGCTCGCTTTTCTCTGCTTTTTTTTGAGCCTGAAGGGATCAAAATACCATCTAGAGCTTCGGTAGCTATCAGATAGCATCGATTCTCTGGAGGATTCGTAGAAGCAGGTGTCTAGAGCGTTAGTCTCAAGCTTGAGAGAATGTCTCTGCCCTGTGTAGTTTGTGGATAGAGGTAAAAGGCTCTCCTCCCTTGGGAAGGAGCACATGGTTTGATTTGTATTTTACTTTTTTTTTCCCCCCTTTTCTCAAGGTATCACCTGGAATGCCTTAATCCACCTCTGAACGAAGTCCCTGTGGATGAGTGGTTCTGCCCCGCCTGTGCCCCCCTGGGTGTCGGTGCTGCTGCAGGTGAGGCCTTTGTGGTGTCCTGTCAAAGTCGATAGTTTGGTTTTTTTCCTCCTCACCTAAATGATGTGAAGCACATGCTGTTTTGAAGAGATGTTGAACCCCTGGTTTTATCTGTTTAAAAATAATCCTTTTGCTGGGCATTCCCTCTTGAACCTAAAGAGTTGTCTTGAACCCTTGACTGATAAGAGGATCTTGTTTGTTAAGATTTTCATCTGCACTTACAACATGCGAAGCCGCCGCTTCTAAGCGATATTTAACTTTCCTGAGGTCAGCACCTGAGTGCAGCTGCCTTGTGTTATGTTGGAAAGAATTTATTAGCATCCTGACCTCAGATTGCCAAGGAGCAACGATTTCTGTTTCCTGGAAAATCATCTTTCTGCATAACAGCCTGAAGCCATGACGTCTGTGTTTGTTTCCTTTTGAGAAGATAATATCTGCCCTTGAAGGGAGTGGGTTTAAGAAAGGGAATACCCTTTTTTTTTTAAAAAAAATTTTATTAAATTCTCTTTTTTTGGTCCAAAGCTCTGGCAATGATTTTCCCTGTAGAAATAAAATGACCTGGGCCTCTTCTCTTTCAAGATACGGATCATGTCAGTGAAGAGGAGCTTGCTGCTCTCATGGCTGACGTCGTTCCGACCACCAGCAGGCTGCGTCCTCACGTCCGCACCCGCGCCATCGCCAGGACTCGGCAGAGCGAGCGAGTTCGGGCCACGGTGAACAGAAACCGAATGACAGCGCAACAAATTCAGGTATTGAGGGGTATTTGCTGAAAAGCCTCACGGAAGAGTTGAAATAAGACCCCTTCCAAATAGCTCCCCTACCTGCGTCGGTTGTCCCTAGCACCAGAGTTAGGAGTTGTGGAGTTGGTGTAAATTGTAGAACGTGTGCGAATGGAGCGCAGCACGTGGCCGGGACTCTCTTAATTTGAAGATTGTAGCAAGTCCCAAATGACCCGAATCACAGCAGTGAGCACAGTTTGAAATAGATGCCGCAAAGGAAGGTCCAGCTCACTGTCTTTAAGGGCTACCCAGAGTGCTTTAGCTGTCCTTAAATTCCTTTTTGCCCTCCACGGTGGAGGTCATATTTGGCTGCTGACGCCCGTCTCCAAACCCAGGCCGATTAATTTCAACTTCAGAAGAACAGATAAAGTAGAAAAACTCCATGATTCGTCGTTTTAGGCAAGTACATCTGAGCTGTCGTGGCTGTGTGGTGAAAAACCTCCCTGCAGAGGAGCGTTGTTTGAGGTGGTTGTTTGAGGAGATAACCACTAGTGCTTTTCTCCCTCCCTCCCTCATGTTTTAGAAATAGCTCTTTCTCTCTGAATAAAAGTGCATCTTATTCTAGCTTGTCCCTTGGGTTGACCAAAGTTTCATTTCGCTGGTTAAGGAGCGTGCGAGCTGTTGTCCTCAAAGCATAGAGAGCTGCTGCTTTTGGATGCTTGGAAAGGTTTAGGATTTGGGGAGGTGATTTGTTTTGTGATTCATCTGATGCCTAAACTAGTGGTGGTTAAACAGACACGTTGTTTTGGGGCCTTCCAGAAAAATAAATACGTCTCAGCCAATGTCCAGGCCCTTCCTTACTCCATCCTGTTCTCCTTCAAATCAGAGAACCTCAGTAGTGTTTACCGATGCCTACAATACTTGAAACGGTAACATTCTAATACAAATAGCTCAGTAAAATAGTTTGGAGCGTGCATTAGCGATGCTAACGGAGAAGCCTGGAGAAATTGCATCCGTAGTAAGATGGATTGAAGCGTGTATTTCCATGGGCCTGTTTTATTTTCAGACATTCCGCAGTTTGAAGCGTCTCTGTCCCTGCCAGATGCCCTAAAGCCTTTCTCCTCTGGTGTCTGTGCCACAGATGCATTTTGTAAATATGCCAGGATTTCATGCTCTGGTAGAAAGTAAGCCCTTGGTAAATTCGTGGATGACGCCAGGTTGGGAGGGAGTGATCACCTGCCGGAGGTAGGAAGGCGCTGCAGAGGGACCTGGGCGGGCTGGGTTGATGGGCCGAGGCCAACGGCACAAAGTTCACCCAGACCCGGTGCAGGATCCTACACTTTGGCCACAATCACCCCTGGCAGCGCTGCCGACTGGGGCAGGAGTGGCAGAGGAGTGCCCAGTAGAGAGGGACCTGGCAGTGCTGGGTGACAGTCAGTCAAACGTGAGCCAGCAGGGTGCCCAGGGGGCCCGGCAGGCCGATGGCATCCTGGCCTGTGTCAGGGCAGTGTG